CTACCCTCCTGATCATGCAAAGGACACAATTTAATTGCACCTGATCGAATAGGTTAAGGAAATGTATAATAATGGTTTCGGTAAGCAGGAGGATGGAGAACATGCACTAGAAAACAAAGAAGATGTGGAAGTAGAAAGGGTTGGAATTGGAAAGACGAGAGCAGATAACCCCTTACAAGTATCAAGCATCACCTGATAGAGACAGTTGAGAGGGTTGGGTTTTTTATACATATATATATAGTACGTTTAAACGAGCACGATACCCTATTTAGGAGAATTAAGAAAAAACACTTGAATCAAATGTAATTTTTATACTAACGTAATGTACAAAATCACATTTGATTCATGCGACTTTGCCCCGTTACTTGTAGACGCAGCCATAGGGTCGTCCGTACACTCTTTTTTTGCCGTTAATGTAAAATCATATGTGATTTTGCACGTGATTTGGCCGTTTCGTATTTTCTTAAATAGTTAGCATTCTTGTTTGATCATCTCTCTCTCTTTCTCTCTCTCTCTCTCTCTCTCTCTCTCTATATATATATATATATTAATCATAATCAATGAATCATGACAATTGTCATTAATATTTCAAGTGTTTTCTTATATAATGGTTGGTATAGTTTGTTAGAATTACATTGTTTATATATATATATATATATATATATGAAAGATGATAAAGCTCATTTATTATGATTATGGCTTTAAATAAAATCAAATATTTGTTAAACTAGGTGGACGACTAAACTTGGTTTGTAAAGTTTGTTAGAATTGCATGGTTTGTAAATGAAACGTCCTCTATATATAACAGTGTTCAAAAAGGCGCGTCATGACGCGATACGGCGCAAGACGTGTTTCCGTTGTTACAAAATGAGCCATAGCATTTATGTACACCACAACAAAATCGGTTTTATAGGACACTTCCAAATTCTAAGTGTCCTAATATACCTCTTTATAGAACTTAGTTTATAGGACCAAAAAATTAAAATGTCCTATCTAAAGGTGTTATAATAAATTTATATGACGTTTTTTGACGTCGTAATAAGTTTTTAGGACACTTTTAATATAAAGCGTTTCATTATCATCTTTATAGGACACTTTTGAGAAAGTGTCCTATAAACTCAATTTTTTATAGGACATTTGTTTTTATAGGACATTTTTTCAAATAGTATCCTATAAAGTTGATAATGAGACGCTTTATATTAAAAGTGTCCTAAAAACTTATTACGACATCAAAAAACGTCATATAAACTTATTACAACAACTTTAGATATGACATTTTTTTTTGTCCTATAAATTAAGTCCTATAAAGTTGATAATGAGACGTTTTATATTAAAAGTGTCCTAAAAACTTGTTACGACATCAAAAAACGTCATATAAACTTATTACAACAACTTTAGATATGACACTTTTTTTTTTTTTTGTCCTATAAATTAAGTCCTATAAAGAGGTCTATTAGGATACTTAGAATTTGAGAGTGTCCTAAAAAACCGATTTTGTTGTAGTGATAAGACGTGGTCACGTTTCACAAATTCATAAACGATAAAGGCTCACGGTTAAAATGAAGTTGTAAAATTATCTTTCTAAGTTCTATTTTGAATATTTAATCAAAAACCTATTTTTATAATAATAATCTATATGATTTTTCTTCTTCTAATATTAATGTACAGTTTTTAATATCATTTTCTGATTAGATAATATATAGAAAACATATATATATATATATATATTCAGGCTTAGCGTTGAGTTCATGTGAGACCATGTTGTTTTCATGAGACAAGCGAGACCATTTTTTACACTTAAAATTTCATAGCAAAACATTGTGAAGATAAAAAAAATATCTAAACATTCACAACAAATACAATATGAAGGTTACCTTTACAGCATTTTGCTATGAAATTTCAAGTGTAAAAAATTGGTCTCACGAAAATAAACTAATATCACATGATCCCAAATTTTTAGATTCATAAAAAAATAATAAGCAAATAGAAAAATAAGAATCATATATATCCAGGTTCATAAGAAAATAATAAACAAATAGAACAATAAGCATTATATATATTCATGTTCATACATGTAAAATCACAAATAATTCATAAGTCGCGGGCTACATCATCAACACCTCTTTGTGTTAACCGTTAGTGTAAAATCAATATGATTTGATCGTTTTCATGTTTACTTATTTAGTTATTGCTTTCGTTAAAAACCCTCTCTTCCTCCCCCCCCCCTCTCTCTCTCTCTCTCTCTCTATATATATATATATATATATATATATGACAAGTTTATTTAATGTTTAAAAGCTTTTTAGTGAAGATTATGCATTAATTGATGTCATTTAATAATTTAAAAATGAAACAAAATCAATATCATATCGTTTTTTTTTATTAACCTGCATATCCAACCCGCTATGCGAGCCGACTAATCCCAGAACGACCACCTGCTTTGCAGAGAGCCCGGAATCACCGCATTTGAACCTCCATGTCCACAAGAGAATTTTTATTCTTTCTTGGATTTGAACCTGAGACCTTCAGGTACTTTTGATCTTTGAAGCCAAGCTCAAACCAACCGGACACAACCTTTGTGGTTCAATATCATATTGTTAGTTATTTTGAGAGAGAGAGAGAGAGAAAGAGGGTGTGTGTGTGTAAGCATTTAACCTCCTCTTAGTATCATGCTCTTGTAATCGTACCTCTTTATATATGAAGTTTCTTTCTCATTTATTAACCTATATAAATACACACATAACACAAGTTTATTTCATGTGTAAAAGCTTTTTTACTAAAGATTAAGCATTAATTTGATATGTTATTAATAATTTAAAAATGAGAATAAAATCAATATCATATCTTTAGAGAGATAGAGATTGAGGGGCCATTTACCAAATACTTACACGGTAAGTGCTTATCGGTAAAATTTAACACTTTTATTTACATACCGGGTAAGATTTTAGTCCACCAAAACGATATCGTATGCAACAATTTATCTGGTAAGCGCTTACAGTGATAAGAGTCGTCGGCCTCACCCAGGTAAGATTTATGGTCCTTGTCTCGTTCTTACCGGGTAAGATTTTTGGTCCTTACCATATTAATCTGGTGAGATAACATGACTTGGTAAGCACTTACCCAGGTAAGCAGGGCCAGCCCTGGCCACGTGCAGCCCATGCGGTCGCACAGGGCATCAAAGCATAAAAGGACATCAAGTTGTCATATATTACTAGTTTTGGGTTGGGAAAATTGCACCAAAATAAAACCAACTTTTACCTAATTCCTATTTTGGGGAACCAACTTTCAAAATCATCATTTTGGGGAACCAACTTGGACCTGATTCCTATTTTGGGGAACCAACTTTCAAAATCATCATTTTGGGGAACCAACTTGCATCTGATTCCTATTTTGGGGAACCAACTTTCAAAATCGTTATTTTAGGGAACCAACTTGCACCTGATTCCTATTTTGGGGAACCAACTTGCAAAATAAAATATAGAAAAATAGTTAAAATTCGTTTTTTCCAAAAATTAATGCAATAAAATCTATTTTTCATTTGAAATCTCGTTCTTTTTTTAATTCAGATATCAAATTGAACATTTTTTAAAAAAATCCAAATTACCACAATAAAAATTGTTTTTTTACTAATGCAAAAAAAAAATCAATTTAATAGAAAAAAATTAATTGATGCAATAAAAAATATAATATTAAATATTACATTCAAGATTTTTATATCTAACCAATTGCATCAATTAGTTTTTTCTATTAAATTGGTTTTTTTAGCATTTGTAAAAAACAATTTTTATTGTGGTAATTTGGATTTTTTTTAAATGTTCAATTTGATATCTGAATTAAAAAAACGAGATTTGAAATGAAAAATAGATTTTATTGCATTAATTTTTGGAAAAAAAAAACGAATTTTAGTTATTTTTCTATAATTATTTCGCAAGTTGGTTCCCCAAAATGACGATTTTGAAAGTTGGTTCCCCAAAATAGAAATTAGGTGAAAGTTGGTTCCATTTTGGTAGCAATTTTCCCTTTTGGGTTCAATAATTTGGGAATTGGACACCAAGCTTTAATTATAAAAACAGGGTCGAGGCCTAGTAGTGATGAATACTGAATGCACATCGTTGGAAAAAAGTTGGAAAGTTAAAAAAGTTTTTGTTTGTATAAAGTTGTCTGCATTAATAAAGTTGTCTATTTGAATTAATCTGTTTGTATAAGTTGAAAAAGTTTTTGTTTAAAAGAATTTTTTCGCATATGTAAAAGCATGTTTTTATTTGGAAGAGACATGTTTGGAAAAAAAAAATTGGCTTTCTATATAAAGTACCCCTTAAAAGTTTACTGGATAAGTTACTTTCTATATTATTAAGCCACTACGAAATAGTCATACATAGTTGACCGAATAAGCTGTTAGCTCCATTAAACTTATTAAGTTGCTAACAGATAGACCCTTAGCCTTTAGTCGTTAGACTTGTAATTTTTGAGTTTTACGTTTTGCTCACTATGACAGTAATTTGGATGTAATTTACTATTTTAGTTAAAAACTAATTATAGTGTTCCTTGTCTTTTAGGTCCTATATATTCGAAATAAAGTTTCAATTTTTGCTAATTTCAATTTGGAAAAAGGAAAACTGAAAAAGAAGACGATCTTAATCCATTATTTATCATTTTATCGTTTTATATTTTGTATTCGGGGTTTTGGTTTTTATGTCCCCCGATTGTATTTTTTTTATTATAATTAATAAAAATCAACATGAGGATGAGATATTTATCTTGAATAGGTTAAACTTTTTAAAAAAATCATATGTTTCGTTGTTTCATTGGCTTAAAAAAATATGCTTAGGGGCATTTTTTATTATTTTCGTACAAGACATCAAAAATCATAAGACCGGCCCTGCAGGTAAGGAGTAAGATTGAACCTCCTATCAAGCTCATGCTCTTGTCTTTATATATAAAGTTAGTTTCTCATATATTGTGGGTTACTGTCTAGTTTTCAACACTCAACAGATCATCCGATGAATAGCAGCGGGAAAGATAGAGTTGAAGATGGTGATGAACAAGGGTGGCTGAATCTAAGCCTAGGATCAAACGGCCTAGAATCAGCCACCACGTCTATGATCAAGGTATATACATGCAGCTTCTGCAAGAGAAAGTTTCACAATTCACAAGCATTAGGAGGTCATCAGAATGCTCACAGAAGGGAGAGAGATGCAGCGAGAAAATACCCTGCCTTCCATTTTCACCAATCAATGGAAGTCCATTCTTCCTGCTTGCTGCAGCTTGTGACACCACCTGGAAGAGGCGATGGATCAGAGACGACAACTAGTACTGTCGCAAGGTTTATCAACCATGGATATGGAGTCACTTCTGTTCAGAATCAGCGGGAGAGATCTTTGGAGGACTTCAAGTCAAATACACTCGACTTGAATCTTAAGCTGTAAGTTGAATCCTCCCACTTTCCTATATCTCATCATGACGAAGAAGATTGATACCCAATAAGCCAACACTCCATCGACTTATATTATGTATGTATGTATGTATGTATGTATGTATGTATGTATGTATGTTATTGTTGTAGTTCTTAGCTCCCTCAGAACGACTCTCTTTGCAATGGAAATCGTCAAGTGTGTAAAAGGGTAGTTTTTGGTTACCAATCTCCTGTGTAAGTGTAACTACTACTACTACTACTCTTTCCAGATTTAACTGGAAAGTTGAACCATATGCGATATAGATTCCGGTAGGGTTATGATGGTTCTACTCTTAATAAAAGTACTACTTTCCAAGAAGTACTATAAGTTATAGCATCCATAGTTAGCATCTTCTGGGTTGTCTTTATTGGGTCGAAGACATTTAAACAACTCAATCTAATCTTTGCGGTTTGAAAAATCTTAATCCAATCCAACCCAAATCGTATGGGTTGGTCAGGTTGATACTTTGGTATATTAAAATCTTTTTCTATCCTTGAATATGTTATTTTTCTCCTCATAATTTTTTTTTCCATTATGAACTCTTTGATACAACTTATCCATATTTCTTACGTATATCATATTCAATTAATTTTCTCAATTTACATATATATGTTCACAGATTCTGAACATGTATACGAATGAGTTACATAGAGATTTAAATAGATTGAAAATATGTGTATATGAAGAACGTACATGATAGTGTAATTGTGAATGTATATATTAATAGAAATTCAACAATCATATTAAATCGAAAAAATAAAAAAATATCGAGTTAATTGGGTTGGGTTCAAATAATAGTAACTCAATACTTATGGTTTGAAAAAATTTACAACTCGATTAAATATTAGGTTGCTTCGATTTTAATTATTTCACGTTGAGTTGGATTGAGGTGGATTGATCGGATTATTCAGATTTTTGAACACCCATATCCACAATGTCCTTTTTTAAGAGGTTTTTGGTATTGAGGTAGTGAAAGGTCTTTGTTAACAATTTTTTGTGAGGTTTTTCGTACAGATGTTTTTTTATTTAATCACTTTTAAATTTATAAAATTTTATTAAAGTTTTGTATTTAATCATTTTTATTTATTAATTAATATAATTAAAGTAATTACATTAAAATAAAATTAATAAATAAATCATATAAGGTACATACATATTTAAAGTTCTTATATATTATTTTATATTTWAATTAATGTCTCAAATTTGTATATATTTTTATACAATTTTTACGGATTTTTGAATAACCTAATTATAAAGATTTCTTGATAACTCAATTTTTATTTTTTATTGTACAAACTTTTTTTATTAATAAATATAATAATATTTTCTCAATATAAATAAAAATATATTTGTATAAATTTTAATATTTTTTTATTTTTATAAATGAAAAATATAAATGATACATGGTTAAAGTGTTGGGACTCTTAAAAGTTTGAACAACGTATGAAAAAACTTGAGAGATGTTTTTGTCACAACGGAAGTATATAAAACCTTCATCAACGGATATAACTCTCCTTAAATAATTTTTATAGTTGTTAAATTATGTGAAAAACCATTGCCTTTTGCAACCCATCGGCGAATTACCAACTGCAGTACTTGCCGACATGTGCAGGGGTGGATCCATCTTTGGGGTATGATTGCTTGTGAAACCACAAAAATTTAAGATCAACGAAACCATAAGTTTCTTGAGGTGAAACGATAAACGGGGTTTTATATGAAAATTTAAGAATTAAAACTTCATGGTTCCTACAAGTCGAGGGTGGTGGTTAGGGATAATTTACGGGTTTCATCCTTCAGAGACTTTAATGTTTTTCGTTTTTCAACTTTTTTTTCGGAAAGCTGAAAAAATAGTTACTAAAAGAACGAGAAAATTTATTTTTATTCCCTTTTCCAACTCCGCCATTCGACATTTTGATTATCACTGGAAATCCCACTCGTGGCTAATGATTTCTTCTTTTAAAAATTGTGTTCCTTTTGTACTGTTCCCACACCTCTTTCCATATTTGAGCCTTTTACGGGTAGCGGTGCTTCTAACGCGATCGTAATGACTTCTAACGCGGTCGTAATGACGAAAGATACCCCATACTTGTTCATCATGTCGTGGATTCTAGAAAATTGAAGAAAAAGAAGGAAGAGATTCTATCTATTTTCATTTGTTTTCAAGTATTTTATACCCTTATTACGTTAATTAATTATTAGCTCAGGTCTTGTAGATACTTTCAAAATGAGCTAAATATTGAATATATTTAAAATTAATTATATTCTTAACATTAACACGTAAATAATATTAAAAAAATTCTATAAAAATATGTTGCAAACTAATCATGTAACGCTAATGGCCGTTTACTAAACGTTTACCGGGTAACTGTTTACCGATATCACCTGAGCAAGCATGATAATGACAAAAAAAAAATCTTACCCAGTAAGAGATATAACAAAGACCGAGAGTCTTACCTTGTAAGTAATGGAAAACACTCTTATCCGGTAATCATTTACCAGGTTTAAGACATTAACAAACAATCTATGATGAATATGATAAGGTAAGTGGGAAATTTTCTCTTGGCGGTAAATGCTGACCCAATAATAAAATTGGTTCAGGTTCAAGATTTTCCTTTTGTAACCGGTCCCGATTCTAGTCCAGACCAAAAACACCCGGCCCGTTCTCCATTTACAAAGCCCAGACCTTAGAACCGGTTCTAGTTCTGGTGCCATGATGGGCCCAAATCATTCACATTCTTTTTTTTTTTCAAAAATCAATTTTGAACATATAAGAAATTTTATTTGAGTTTTTTTTTGGACAATATCTTATTAAAATACATTTTAAAATCACTAACCAGGTCATTCATATACACTTTAAATATTTTTTAAAAATCTTTTTTACCCAAAAATGATATACATTTTTGTAAAAATTAGAACTTTAGAAATTTAGTATTGAAAAACTTTTAAAACTTAAAAAAGGATAACTTTCTGGATAAAAACTTGAAAATATTGTAGAAATCTCAAAAAACTTGATATAATTTATAGAAACTTAACTTTTTTTTAAAAAAAACTAGTCCTACGTACAACCGGTCCCGTAACTAGTCTAGGGCCAGGCTTTGAATTTTTCGTAAAATTCGTAACCAAGCAAGGACTACTGATCCATAACCGGTTCTGGTCCTACGCCGATCCCGATACAATCCTATTTTGACCATCTTTATCCGATAAACAGTTCATAAACCATCTTCAAGTTAACTAAATAAACTAACAAATCGCTTTCTTTGATCCCTAAATCTCGGCCCAACCAAATAAAAGGACCAACCCATTGAAATAATGTCTCACTGTTGTTGCTTGCCATTTTAATCTGAGCCCACACGGTTTGAAATTATCATGGATTGGTTTTCAATTCATAAAGTAGTACTAAAGGGTTTTCAAGGATATTTCACTTCACTATAACTTAATGGACTGAATAAGTCATATGTCTTGTTCAATAAGTCCTATAAACCTGCTTCGTTGTGGTTTTATTCGGCAATCAAGGGCTTATTCAGCCATCCACAAAAACGACGTTCACATTCAACCCTAGTTTTGTAACCTGTGTACCCTTCTCTTTTAATACGCTCTCCCAGCTTCCATCTTCCGTCAACAGAAGAAAACCCATCACCAAAGTTCTTCCCTTTCGATGCAGTGGAAGAACCATCCAGGGCCTCTACTCCATCGCGTGCCTCTCATAGCATCTTCGTAAATCTCAAAGTTTGAGTTAAGAGGATGGTATTGGATGTATATGGCTTAAAATGCATCAAAAATTTCGGTTACCACCATTGTCGAAAACAATTGTAAAAATTGCTTAAAAACCATTGTTTTATAACATGAATATATTGGATCATAGCAAATTAACTAAGAATTTGTAACTTAAACAAAAGCTTAAATTCATCTTATCCAAAGCGTAATAAAAAAAATCATAATATTCAAAATGAAAATGAAAAAAAGGAAACTTTTTGTAGTCGGTAAACGATAAATAAATTGCTAAAAGTTGGTGAGGTGTCTTGTTGTCATATGCCAATAAATAAGTTTGTTGCTTATCTATACTATATTATAAAGCATTTGATAAAGACTCTTAAAAACTATTTTTTATGCATGAAGTACTATGTATTAATGTATATTACTTAAAATTTAAAATTACAAGTAAATTGTGCATAAGTACAACTTATTAAAGCTCCATTTTTGAATTCATATAACTAACTGCAGATAAATATAATCAAATACAGGATAAACATTTTATTTTAAATATAAAAAATTTAAAATATAATTAGGATAATTATTGAATTCTAACAGAATCATTATTTTTATAAAAATTATATTGTTAAACCAAAAATAAATTACTTTGTTATTAGACCTAAATTAAATTATATTAACAAAATTTAATTAAAGAAATTGTATAAAAAAACGAGAGCTATTAAATAGTTAATTTGATACTAATATCGGTGTATTTTTTTAAAATTTTATGCTATCTTCAAATTTATATTTCATTCATAAATAAATTCATTATTGTTTTCTCAAAAACACATGAAATCGTATTGTATCGATAGAGACAAAGCATAAAAACTACACATTAAAATCGAGATTTATCTTGCTACATTGTGCGAGTATCCTTCTAGTTATTTATAATATATCTGGAACTTTAAAGTATTGTACTTCTTAGTATACAAGACATGTCTCCATCGTTACGATAAGACTTATAGCGTATTTGTAAGGCATCACGTATGTCATGGCGCCTTGAGTGTCATGGCTTACCGTGCCATGTGTTTTTTACAAGACATTACTTTTTTTCAAAACAGAAATTTGTTTTTTTTAATTTTTGTGTTTTTACATTTTTAACTTTAGATTTTACACTTTTATAGAATTTTTCTAATCGCATCAATCACTGTTTCATAAACTCATAAACATCACGGATTCACGATAAAAACAAAGTTTTAAAATTATTTTTCTAAGTTAAGTTT